TGCACTATATTTTGATACGGAAGAGTATTTTGATGTTATTGTAATATTATTGTTATTTTTTGAGACAAAGAATAGTTTCATATTATTGAAGTTAACCATAATGGTTGACTGTTTTGTTGAATGTTACACTGTTACAGAGTCAATAATAAATCGCTGCTAGCAGAGCAAAGCACAAGATATTAACGTGATTGTCCTCGTCATTCACAGATCCACAGTGCACACTGCCTGTGTATCACTTGTGCCGACCCAGATTTCCCCTAGGTCTGAGGCCGGTAACAATTGGGGGCTCGTCCGGGATCCACCGCCGCTTAGCTGGGAGAGTGGGAACTGCTACAGAGAGAACCTGTATCCAAAGCTTCAGGGAAGGCAGCCGTGCTGTGCGTCATCCAGGGAGAAGGGACTACAGGGGCTAAAGATGGCTACCACAACCCCACGACGGGAGCTGGTCTTCAGGATCCGAAAGAGGCTCTTTTCATTGAGTACCAGCCAGCTACAGGCTGTCGCCAGTGCGATTGATGACGGATCAGGACTGGATGTTGAGGGCTTTGCAGTGTTGAGTGAATCAGAACTGTTTGATTTAATTGATGATTACTTAAGAAGTGAGAAGCTGAGAGGTATGGAAGATGAAGGCATGTCTCAGATCCTTTACCTTGATGATATGCTCGATAAACTCTTAGAAGCCCCAGATGTAGGAGATGCTGGAGATGCTGTGGGAGGAGCTGATCAGAGAGGAGAGACCGAGGCTGCAGCACTCCAAGGGCAGGATACAGAAACTCGGCGACGGATCAACTCGACTACAGCACCCATGGACAGTCAGCCACTGTTTTCACCGAGGGAAGACGTTCACACACCTCAACCGACCGCGGATAGGGACGGTAATGCACCTGCCAGGAGCCTTGCCACTATGTCGCCCGCTAGATTCAGCGCATGTGGTCCCCTTCCTGGTCGTGCCGGTCCGCCTTCCAGTGTTGGTGAGCAGGTTGTGAAATTCACAGATGTAGCTGCTCTGCTTCCACGCAGAGAGTTTAAGATTTATGGTGGTCAGATTTCTGACACAGGGTCTGAAGTGTCTTACAGTAGCCTGTGTAAACAAATGGATCAAGGTCTACTAGAAGGGTTTAGTGAGTCAGAGGTTATGCGCACTGTGCTTAAGATAACTAAACCTGGTACGTTCAGCTAACTAGCAAAGATGACCTTACCATGAGTGAGTTGAAAAGGTTTCTCCGCTCCCATATTAGAGACAAAAACAGCACAGAGCTCTTCCAGGAGCTTAGTACTGCTAGACAGCAAGACAAAGAGGGCCCACAGCAATTTTTTTATCGTATTATGGGTCTAAAACAGAGGGTTATTTTTGAGTCAAAACAGCCAAGTGCCGACTTTTGTTATGACAGAAAGCTTGTCCAAGGTACCTTTCTTCACACACTTTACCAAGGTTTAAGTGAGAAAAATAACCACGTCAGATGTGATTTGAAACCTTTCCTCACAGACTGGCAGGTTACTGATGACTTTCTCCTAGAACAGATCACCAGGTCCACTAGTGAGGAGACGGACAGATTGAAACGACTTGGTACAGCGACTAAAACCCGACCAGTGTCTGTAAATGCAGCTCAGTCTGACCAGACTAAACATACTGAACAGACCAATGTTGACACTGAGTTACAGGCTAACCGTGCTGCTATCCTAGAACTGACTGCACAAGTGACCTCGATGGCCCAACACTTTGCTTGCGTTGTCAAACCCTCAGAGCCTGTTACCAATGTGAGCCACTGTCCCCCCTCCACCCGATCCCCAAATCGACCCCAGGCATCGGCTGAGAACAGGGGCAGGTGTCAGGACTGCGTGCAAAAGAACATTAGGAGCTGTCCGCACTGTTTTGTTTGTGGCCAAGAAGGACACAGAGCAGTTGGATGTCTGCAAAGAAAGG